TATTTATTAATTTACATTGTTGACGTAAATATCGTACGTTGATAGATTTTTGGTATCCAAAGGAAGAAATAGGAAACGCAGCTGGAAAGGAAGAACAGCAAAGGGTATTGTGAGTGTTCTTCTTTGATGTACCTCGCCTATTAGAGCGAGACGGTCGCGCTCCCCTCTTCCTTTCTGATCTCATTCTCGCGGGATGGGATACTATCTCTTTCTCTGTCCTATCTTTGTATTCTATTCACCTTCCAGTTTGACGAGGAAGGAGCAGCATTCCCCATTACCGATAAGATACCGATCGCGATATATGTACACCCACTGGCACTAATCCGCGCGGTGATCTGATAATTGAGCGAACGCTGGACACCGGAAATACGTAACAGCCGTTACTGTCACAGTAACGTCGATGCGGGATTACGAGTTGCTGGTCGCCCTTGCTCGTAACCAGGGTCAATTTGCGGTACCCACAAATCACACCAGAATCACCGGAAGTGTCCGGATCGACGCGATTTTACAAAGCCATGGCGAAAACAATGTACTCTTTTTGCGAAAGATTAAATACGATATTGTAGTGATTATTGTTTTTTTAACGATTTATGTGTGGGGGGAGTATAAATTAAATAAATCGATTCTTAGAGATCTAAAAAATAATAAATTACAATAAGTCTTTATATAAAATTGTGTGAAGGTCGCAGAATTTTAAATTCTAAAATGAATTAGTAATAAAGCGTCTAGGGCATTTACCGCACTTTGAAATTTGCGAACGTTAATTATTTTAGTTTTAATTTAGTTTAATTAACCTAATTTTTAACTTTTTAATTATTTTTCTCGTAATTTATTAAAATTATTTCTATAACTTTTAGTCAAAACCATACGTAAAAAAACGATTGAAATAATTGAATAAAAACGATGAAAATAATTGAATAGAAACTGAGCTACTAATTTATAGTTCGCTGTTACGAAGGAAGTGTCGCTTGCGTTTTGCAATTAGTTACGTTGCATAATGAAAATTTAGCACCATTGTGAAAATTAGCAATTATTTATTGTTTCTATTTCGAAGCGGAACATGTTTTAATTACTAGCGCGTTCACGTAAAAGCTCACCATCAGTTTATAATTATTGCAGCGACACCGACTAACTTTCCGACTAACTTTCCGACTGATATCGAAACAGTTTATCGAGTGGCGACAATTTAATTGATCATCTGCCTCTTCATCGTCGTAATATAGTATTATCATGTTCGCAATGTTTTAACGTGTCACTTTAATTACATACATTTCGATTTCATTGGTGCGGTAGCCGACAAATACAGTTGTACGTATCTATGTATTTCGGTCGAAGCCACTATTCCCCTTCCGGAACTTTGCGATAAATCTCGATTAATCCAATCGAGGAGCCATCGCGCGGATGTTGCGCGTGACCAACTCCGAAGAAGCGATTGCCAATCGCCGCTCGATTCCTGGATAGACCTTCCCGTTTAGTTAACGTAGTCGCTTCTTTGATTAGTTAACCCATTCCCATCTTTGTTCGCAAAAGGGGATAGACAAGGCGACGAGATGTGCAGTTCCCTGGAGGGTTTCCTGGCGTAGACACTCTCCTCTCCCTTCTCCTCTGCTCCCTTACTCTTTACAGGATCTCCTACACTCCATAGACTGAGATGAGAGCGATCGCTCGGTCGGAAAATCGCTTTAAACCGCGCCGACTAATATTAACTTTCTCTTATCGTTTCGTGAAATTCCCGAACTCTTTTTTTCCCTCCATCGCGCATCGGGATCGCAAAAGCTTTCCCTTCCCGTGGGGTGCACGCTGGACGGCGCTCCGAAATTTCCTTATTTGCCGTTCGGACGGTCGGCTTTGTGTAAACTTCGTTTTATCCCGCAAACGGTGAATGTTTTCCTCCTTTCCACCTCTACGATCGATATGTCTGGAATTTCGTAACGAGCAAATAGATCAACGATACGAGTCACGACGAGATTCGAGGTAGTCACGAGTCACGACACACCAAGGTCGCACGTAATTAACCATCTTGCACATACCGTTGTGATCGATTAGAACTTTTGATCCGTGAAACGAATGATGACTATTAAAAGTTTGGTGATTTATAGTAGAGCGCAAAAGAGGAGAAGGAAAGACGCGGGAGAAAAGAGCCGCGATTGGCGAAACGGTGCATCAGGTCACCATTTCAACCGGCAAACTTTATGCAAACAATTTTAGGGCGCAACAAACTGTCACGCTCGCAGTAAAACAGTAATGCTTTTCACTCATACAACCAGTCGCATTCTACAACGAGCATAATTCACGCGAGACAGCTAACCGCCTGCTAAAGTGATATGCATCCTGCACGTGCGAGCATATGTAAAAAAGCAAAAGTTTCGCGTGCGCTTTTATTGAAACGCTTTTTGCATTTGGAAATATCATTTTGAACTAAAATTTTTTGATTAGTAATCCAACACTAATGTTGCTTTGTGTAAAGCTTGCGTATTTGATGTGTTAGATTTATGTTCTTATGCTTGCATATTATTATTGTAGCACATATTTTAGCTAATATTAAACAAAATATAAAATTAAAAAAAATATAAATAAATTATCTCATTCCATTCTATTATGGTAGTTTTTACCGGACTTGTTATTAAATGTACAATATAATTTTGGTGTATATATAATAATAAAGCAGGCAAGTTACTAATCCAACTAGATAATTGATAAAGTAACTTTTAAAAAATTTTATGAAGACTTATATATCGCTTAAGTTTAGCGCATTAACAGATAACAAGCTTCCCTTCCACTATTCAATTTAGCGAATAGTTTCCAAATCATTAGCAAAAGCTTGCATCTACATCCGGCTTATGTTATTGTAAGCTCGCACTTGCGTCGATTCGCGCGCGCTCTCCAAATCAAAGCAGGATATTTAGATCTCCTGCTAAATCGCTTAGAAGGTTGTATGGTTGCGCATGCATCCGTCGGAATAATCAGAGAGATTGTAAAATAAAGTCGAGAGTAATATTTTATATGCCTCCGTGCACAGTTGGAAAAAATGTGTTGAATTTAACATAAATCGCATGTCCCAAACGGTCCACTCAAATTTTTGAGTTAATTTTACACAAGATGAATATGTTAGAAGGTAACACAAATATTATGTAAGAGAATAAATACAAAGAAAGATAATATTGACACAGTTTGTAAAAAAACCGTGGGAACATTTTTTTTCAGGAAATTAATATTTATGATATGTTAAATTAACACATATTTCATTCATTTGTCTTAGAATTTACGTTTTAAAACACATTATTTTTATGTTACTTGTTCACTTACTCATAAATTGTGTCATTTTGACACTAAGAAACATTGAATATCAATTTCACAAAAAATCTTTAAATAACATAATCACATTATGTTAAATTAACACTCGAATATGTTAAAAAATTCAACATATACTGTTAATACAAACGTGAGTGAACCGTTTCCAACACAAATACACAAATTTTTTTACTGTGTGGGAAAAACGCCCGGAATGCAAAATATTGACCTATGTATCAGACTTTAATCAACGGCTCGTAGTGAAAATATTGGCTGACGAGGGAGATTTACGCGAAGAATAAAATTAGAAGAAACTTACGCATGCAAGCTGTCCAGCATCAAATGAATTGACGGACGGAAATTCGCGTTACGCGATCGCGAGAATGGTGTACGTCCCAAGGGTAGGACCTCAAACACGCATAATCCGGGCGAAATTACTGCGTGCCGGTGAAAAGCTTCGCGCGTAAGTTTCGAAAGCGGACGAGCCTGTGCACGGTCAAATATGTACTCTAGGGTAACCAAACACACCAGTAGTCTTTTATACGTGAGCAACGCGCTCACAGCTGTATGTGCTAAAATACTCATACGTCGCATGCAGCCCACGCCTCGCAAAATGCAGCATTAATCCGACCGTTCGACTGGAGCGCGCGAGCCTCGCTGCGAAAAATTTCGTCTGGTAGCATAGGTTAAATATAAATACGTGCAAAATATATGTCCGTATATTCAGAAACATTCCTCGCATTTTTTTCGTGCGATTCAATTCGGACTCGAACCAACTACAGAGATAAATAGTCATCACATATAAAAAATAGTTTCTTCTCGACATTACTTGAACAAAAATTGTATTTGACATTTGTGTATATCGAAAGTATCGAAAATGGAAAGTTGGAAACTTGCCAGCGATGATGGATTTCCATGAAATTATTACTAACGGCAAATCGACTTCAAATTTGTCAGCCTGAGCTGAAACGATATTCAATAACGATGACATGGTCTGTATATGAAATAAATCATATTCATAGGGAACATGCTACAAAATATTCGGCCCAATATTTTTCCATTCCAGATATGATAACTTCTAACTCACTTTGCGACCATTCGCGGTTATAGTATATATGTCGCCGCAATAAAATCATCCTCCGCTTCACTTTGCACAGATAAAGTGCTTAATATTTTAATCGCTCGTTTAACGAGTGCGATGCCCGTGAGAATATTTCGCGCTTTACAACGTGTCCAATCAAAATAGTCGATTGGGTTCTGGATCGCGAAATAGTCGACTGAATAAATCCGCTCGCGAAATCGTTTTATTCATCGATTTTATGAACAAATATTATTGCAAACATATGTAATCCTTGAGTATAAGAGCTTATAAGTGCAATTTATTTTGTAAAATTGTTAAAAGCTCTTCTTGCCAAAGTCATTTTATAATAATTTGTGTATGAATCTTTATTTTTATTATTTTTAGAATTAACAAACGTCAACCATTGCCTTGAATATGTCTATTATTTATTGAAAAAGGGAGCCATTTTCTATCGAATTATTTCTTCTACTATTATCCACGTGACTACGATAAATTACACGAGTACGAACTGATAAAGTGCACACAGGAGTCTTTGACCTATTAACATATTAATAACGGCATATTTTTTTCCAGGAACGCATGTTTAATATACTGCATACACAACATAAACTTTCTTTTCATGTTACAGTATAATGAACAACAATAGTGTGGAGCAGCCAGATCCAGACAATATAAAGATGTTCGTGGGGCAGGTACCTCACGATATGGACGAGAATGATTTGAGGACGATGTTTGAGGAATATGGTCGAGTGCATCAGATAAATATCCTGCGGGACAAGATCACCGGTAGTCATAGGGGTAAGTGATTGAGCTTCTTCACGTTTACGATTGCACGCTTCAAGTTGTAATTACAATAAACTTTGACATTTAATGGAATAATGGTAAAAAAAATAGAAATAAATTAACTTCTATTTCTTTGTTGTTTTAATTAAAGTTTATATTACAGTCTTCAATTATAACAAATGAATATAAAATTATACTTTACTATATGTATCCTATTAGAAAAATTATAATATTAATACATTTCTATATTTTTTATTATAATTTAACAAATTTATTTAATCATTATTATTATTTTTTAATATTTTCTTTTATAAATGTGAAAAATGCTTTTATAATACATATTATTCTTTTATCAAACGATGACTTTGATAATTATGATTATTGCGTTATATGTTTAATTTTTTAAATATAGTTTCTCTGATTTTTTTTATCTTATGAATGAATCAATAAGAAAATGCAGACTCGTATATAATTTTTATTTTTTTATCGACAAATCTTTTTTCCATTTTTCAACATTTATATGCCAAAACGGAATCGAGTATGAAAATCGCTTTATGTGCTTGTGTATGAACATTATCACGATAATTGACATTTTGAAGTTGACAGAACATGTTAAAATAAATACGCGAATGGTTATGGAAAGAGTACAAAAGTTAGGGAAAACGCATTTACGACGTCAGAAAGAATGATAAAATGTTAAGACATGATCATAGATCAAAATTAATTCTGGATACATTCGGCTCCTGCGGTAATTGAATATATATCTTTTTATAGAAAGAATAATGGATTTTACCATATATCTTCTTGTTTTGTACTTCCTGCAGCTAATTGCAATATAATCACGATAAAATGATAAGCATATATTATGAAGATGATGTTATATGCATATAGGTACGTAAAGTTTATACGTTTTATGTATAGGAGACTGATATGATGATAATATTATTCGATTATCAAATAATTGAAATTCCAATTTATTTCATTTTTGAAACTGTTCTTGAAGTTGAATTATGTCAATAAATTCACTGAATAGGTTAATTCATCGGAAATCATATTTTCCATTAAACTGATCCCTCAACGTTATATCAAATTTTCATTATAATTGATGTTGCGTTTTACTATTATTGATGTAGTCTCGTAATGGAGCATGCTGAAATTAGGTATTATTTCGAATAATCTGACTTTTTTAAAAATTCCATTCTATTTATTAAACACAGTATTATTAAATAATGATTGTAACAAATTTTATTCAATCTTTATCAAGTGTTACAATTAAAAATTTTCTAAATTAAAAATACGAATATAGAAGCAGATAAACAAACGTAAGAAGAAATAACGAGGGAATAATGATTTGAGAATATGAAGTTAATCATTAATTTCTTCAAAATTTTTTTATGGGATTAATAGGACTATAGTATTGAAAGAAAATTACATTATATTGATTTCAACAAATATTTACATCAAATAAAGGAAATGAGGAAAGGCAAATTCGCATACAACAATTGATATATAGTTAGAAACGGTTATTGCTATAAGCCTTTCTCGGTATATCGATCGGAGGGCGAGAAAGTAACCCCACGGGACCCTCTTATGTCTCCCCACGTTGGAATACAGGCGTGCTTGTAACGTGGCTGTCACTGAAATATACACGTGCTCTCTAATAATGAGCCTTAACGCTCGCTAAACGTCGTCCGCACCAGTGAAAGTTTGTGCAATTACTTTCACTGTACAGATGACTTCAAATTTGCGGCCGGTGTGAAAGTTAGATATTGTGTGGTAACCCGATTGCCTAGTGTGTATGTTAGGAATATCGATTTCTGTGCAAGACGGTTAAATTTCACTATAGATATATTGTCAAGCATAATTACGATCGAATTTCTGTAGAGCTTATCTATATGACGAACAGAGAAAAAAGAAGTGTCCTATTGCATTATTGTTTAGCAATATGTCATTCTAGAAAATTATATTAAATTTATTATAAATACTTTGTACTAGAAATTTAAAGAAATTGTATATTCACTAAATTAAATTGTATTAAGTTTTTATAAATATACTAAATTTCACCGATCACATGCAATGAATTTTTAAAAAATTTCTTTCCTTAATTAAAAAATTATTAATTGTATATAATTTTTTAATCTAGCAACCATTTTCTTGCAACTGATTTTTAAATAATATACGTGTAATGTATATGAGAGAGAGAGAGAGAGAGAGAGAGAGAGATGTCAAAGTTCCATTTCTCTAAAGTTATTTTATTTCTTAGATCATACAATTATTTATTATAATTATATACAGAAATTATTTAAAAAAAATTTTGTGTATTAACTTTTGAAAATAATCGATTGCCAAATGTATGTTATTTTACAATTTTAGGTAATTTAAACGAATTTTCTTCAAGCACGCTTTAGAAATCTTCCGTAGATAAGTAGATCTATATGTAAAATGTACGCGATGCACTATCCGAGTCGGAAGGCGCGAAATGTTAGGATTCTGAGAACTTCCGGAATAATTAATGTGGGCGAATTGTAAACGTCATGCGCACCTGCAAAATTGATGGCGGCAGGCAGTACAACTGGGATGAAATTCGTTCCCCATTGTGAAAATTTAACTTGATTACCATGACGTAATGGTGAATTAATGTCCCGCTCGCGGGCCGTTTGTTTAATGCACCGCATTTTAGATTCGAAATCTCTGTCAACGTGGAGTTTCAATTTTACAATAAAATGAGCTAATTACCGTTTCCCAATTAACTTTTAGTTGACAATCGTCATATTAGGCAATCTCCTCGTCACATTCTCACTAAATTACAATTAATTTTATATAGAATGTCTTAAAATGAACCGATTACCACTTTATATTAGTTTATCAATCATAACTGGAGTTTTATAGAATCTCATCTGTAAGCAATAAAAACACACACACACACACACACATACAATCGTATAAATTATAATGCTTAAGTAAAATGTATACCGGAATAATAACTCGACGGGGTGAGTTTGCTCGTCTGTCGCTGGCCAAACAGCGAGTCAGAAGGTAAATTCCACAGTGCATCGAGGCATTTTATCTCAACGGTGGAAATAAAACACTAAAATTTCCAGAAATTCTATATTAATTAAGCCGCGGAGCCAAGCTTGGCATGAGCTCTACTAAAAATTAACAAGAGGTACCTGTGGAATATATTTGATTTACGCCAGGATAAATTTAAAGTTTAAATTATTCACAGGAATACTCATAATGTCGCATAATGAAAAAAATTGCTTCGGCCGTTCCATCGGTAATTATAATATACTTTAATCCTCATTTATTTAATTTTAGGTGCTTTCTATAAAACCACAGTTGTAATATAACTCTATTATATATTTTGATAAAAAATATTTTAATTAAAATTAAATATAGAAAGCATAAAATACAGTGTAATATAACTAAAAGAATTTCTTTTAATTTCCACTCTTAATTAAATTACATACACTTGAATAGGATCATATTCACTTTGTGTTTTTATGTGTATGACATCGCCTTTACAATTGATAAGGAATGTATTAACACGTTACTGGAGTCTTTCAATATGTATCATCTCCGCTTACAATTTACAATTGAGGTGGGAGAGGAGAGATCGTTTAAATACGTTGATGTCAATAATTAAACAAGGCATGAATTTAATTCATAATTGATATAAAAAAATCTATTTGTTTTAGTATAGAGAAAGAGTATAGTTGCTGTTGATTTTACCATTTAATTATTAATTTATTGAATTCTATGAAACTTGACATCTTCATAACAATGTGCCTTATGGTAGTTCATTGAACGTATTTTGTGGAATTTTATTTCGTACAATGTTAATTGCGTCAGACTTATTGTATTGGTATTTATCAGTTACATTACATATTGAGGAAGGTTAGAAACAGGGCCGAAACGTTTATTGTATTAACAGCTTTGAGTTTTGAGATAGACTTTCTTTATTGTTAGTAAACTGAATTACACGTTATCATTCAGTATTGGTTCTTATTGACAATTTTAATTCTTGTTAAATTTATTCGTCAGAGTCTTATATTTCTGTTATTGTTAAGTCTGTTATTAATCAAATTACTTCTCAATTAAATATGTGTCAATATAATGGCACGTAAAATATATTTTTTATTAATAAACACTCAAGAATTAGATACAGTTTACAATAAGCCATATAGACATTATGAATAATATAGACAATATGAATGCTTTAAGCAAAACTATGCATCAAAAATATCAGTGAAAGTTCTTTTGAAATATTTTTTCAGTTTACTTTTATTCACTCCGCGATATTACTTCATTTAATGATCTATCGGGTGGAAAAAGTATTTGACTAATAAGTTTTTCATAATAAGTTTAACCTTCTTATTTTTAAAAATTTTCAAAATAAATTATGTAAAAGGATTTCTTTTTATATAATTAATGCTTATAGCAATGTATATATTACATAATAGTTTCATTTTTTGAATTATTTTATACATTTCTAATTTACAGTCCTGTGATTACATTGATCATTAAGAGTTTTCTATTGCAATATTCATATTAAGGTAAACTAATCTCATTACAAAATAACTTCACAGGACATTAACATAATTAATTCAGGTATTATCATATTAATTTAGGTATATTCATTCTCGAAATACGAGATTTATGCGAAACAGATTAAACGGTGAAGTCATCTGCTTTGAAATCAATATTGCTAAAGTGAGCAATCCATGGAATGTTCAATTTGGTAGGTCAATAGAAGACAACGAACTCGTGGCAAACTCCTTTTATGCCCGATTAAAACAAGTGCGGAATCGTGTTCGCAATGAAGACCTTCGAGATTGCCATCGTAGCCAATATATCGGAATCCCGAAAGTGTCCGACTGCGCCGCTTCTTGTCGCAAAGTAGCGGAATTCGATACTCCGCTGCTTTGTGAGACACGGTATGGGAACGACAAGGACGATAATAGGATTCTCTGCAAATAGGAAGGACGGGCTGCCGTCTCCCGTCGCACAATTTT